GGCTATTGCGCTATAGGGCGATAGGGCTACGGGGCTATAGGACCATAGAACTATGGGGCTATAGGGCCATAGGTCTATAGGGCTATAGGGCTATAGGTCCATGGGGCTGTAGGGCGATTGGGCTGTAGAGCTACACGGCTGTGGGGCTGTGGGGCTGTGGGGCTATGGTGCTATATGGGTTTGAGGGCCATAGGGCTATGAGTGTATAGCGCTATGGGGCTATAGGCTATAGGCTATGGGGCTGTAGGACCATAGGGCTGTAGGGCTATAGGGATGTAAGGCTATGGTGTTATAGGGCAAGAGGGATATAGACATATCGAACTATAAGGCTATATGGCTATAGAGCTATAGGGCTGTAGGGCTGTAAGGCTATAGGGCTATAGAGCTATAGGGATATAGGGCTTTAGAGCTATAGGCCTATAAGGCTATCGGGCTATGGGGTTACAAGGCTGTTGGGCTATTGGGCTATAGGAATATTCGTCTATAGAGCTGTAGGGCTATAGGGGTGTAGGGCTACAGGGATATTGGGCTATAGGGCTATAGAGCTACAGGGCTCTAGGGCTATAAGGCTATAGGGCGATAAGGCACACGGGCACTGGGGCACCTGGACACCTGGGCACCCGGGCACCCGGGCACCCGGTCACCCGGGCACCCGGGCGGGCCGCGGAAATCGGCGGCAAAGTTCACCTGACCATACAGATGTCCGCCAATACCCCTACAGAGGCAAGCTTTGATTGGGGAGCGAGTGCGCTTGGACCCCATACACAAGCAAGCTATGATTGGGGAAGTTGCAGTACGAAAAAGGGTACCGATAAAGCAAAGGGGGTCGGTGGACCCGTCATTTTTTTCCAGAAAGGAGAACTGATGTTAACAAACGAGTTGACACATGCCATGCTCTTGCAAACATCCCACCCACCCACCCGCAACTTGGTTTTCAAAACTCATGCTGTGGCGATTGCAATGGCTGCTTGGCGTTGGCTGGTGCACCTGTGCGGCCGCGCCAACCCTAGCACGCGCGTGCAGCGGCCATCTAGTTTGGCGCCACCGACGCGGCCGCGGTGGCGCTGACCGCCGGGCGCATCCCACCGGGCACTTCAGTGCGAGTCGTCGACTTGGGCGGACGTGGTATCATGGCAACATCGACAACGGTAGACACGATGATGAGGATAGCGATGCTGGTGACGATGCTGACTGCAAAGACGGTGCAGCCAGTGACGGCGCCGATGCTGATCGCGCCGATGACGATGACGGCGTCTTCGTGTCGGACATGAGGGTTCTGGAAGGAGTTCGAAATGCGCGCGGCAGACGCGCGACAGTGGCCCGCACGGTATTATTTGGCACGGGTCGTACCACCCCAGCACGCACGCAAGGGCGTTCGAACCATTTCGACATGCGCGCGCACGAAGCCCGTTTGGTAGCATGTTATGAACATGCTGGTATTGGAACACCGATGGTTTTCTGAAGAACTCGCAAGAGCACGCGCGCAAACTTTTTGAGGAAATCCATGTTGCCAAACCATGTGCGTTTATAGTTTTGGGCACTCGGTTGTGAAGCCCCTGCGAGACTTAGGCTTCTTGACTGATTTCGGCATTCGCGCGCGACGACGCGCGCGTGCGCACTTCGTCTCATGTCATGCAATGGATGTTTGACAACTTTTGTTTCTTGATAAACGAATGCGCGCGCCTAGTATTTGTTGCAGAGGACGGCGGGGGGGGTCGATGCCGGCCTGGTTGGGATGGTACGACGTCATAATTAAGATGGGCGATGGGCCAGAATCATATGTAAATTGCAATACGAAAGGAGGTACCGAGAATCCCGTGGGGGGATAATCTATTCTCTTCTTTTAAAAGGGAATCAATTCTGTGCATTCTATGTGGTGCGCTTGATTTTTACCACGAGTCGACACATCCCATGTTTTTGCTCATATCCCACCCACCCACCCGCGACTTGTTGTGCAAAACCCATGCGGTGGTGATTGCGATGCCTGCTTGGCGTTGGCTGGTGCACCTGTGCGGCCGCGCCAGCCCTAGCATGCGCGCAGCGGCCAGCTAGTTTGGCGCCGCCGACGCGGCCGCGGTGGCGCGGACCGCTGGGCGCATCCCAACGGGCACTTCAGTGCGAGTCGGCGACTCGGGCGGGCGAAGTATCATGACGACGCCAGCTACGGTTGACGCGATGATGGTAGCAGCGATGCTGGTGACGTTGTTCGCACCGACGAAGGCGCCGCCAGTGCGGGCGCCGATGATGATCATGCCAGTGACGATGACGGCGCCCTCGCGTCGGAAATGAAGGTTTTGGAAAAAAATCGCCATGCGCGCGCGGCCGACGAGCGAGCATGGCCCGCATGGCTTTATTTGACGCGGATCGTCCCCCCCCCCCAGCACGCGCGCAAGGGCGCACGAATGATGTCGGCATGCGGCGCCAGAGGCCCGCTTGGGAGGATTCCCTGAATATGTTGACATCGTTTTCTCAAGAACTCGCAAGAGCGCGCGCGCAAGCTTTTTCTGAAAACTGTTGTTGCGAAACCCTGTTTTTGAATGTGTCTTGGACATTCGGACTTGAAATCGATACGAAAACGAAAATTCTGGAAGGATTTCAGCATGCGCGCGCAACGACGCGCGCGCGCACTTCGTGCCACTTTTTCAGAGGATCCTTCCGACGGCACGCGCGCAAAAGGCGTTCGAACGATTTCGACATGAGCGCGCGAAGCCCGTTTGGTAGTACGTTCTGAGAATATTGGACAAACTGCGGTTTTCTTAAGAATGCGCAAGCGCGCACGCTTGTTGTGAAAATCCGTGTTGCCAAACCATGTGGCTTTTCTATGTGATTTGGAAACTCGATTATGCAATCCGTCCGAAATCACAGTTTTTTGAAGGATTCAAGCATGCGCGCGCGACGACGCGCGCGTGCGCACTTCGTCCTTTTTCTGTTGCAAGGGACTCGTGAAAATATATGTGTTTTGATAAACGAGCGCGCGCGCATAGCACATATTGCAGAGGATGGCGGGGAGGTCGATACCGGCCCCCTGGGAAAGTGCGAATTCAGATTTAAGATGGACGATGGGGCAGAATCATATGTAAATTGCAAAACGAGAAGGTGGACCGATAAACCCGGGGGGGGTCTTTCTTAGAAAGGAGAATCTATTTTGTGCAATTGAGTTTGACTTCCTCGCGCGCGACAACCTCCCATGTCGCGCAAACATCCTACCCGCCCACCGGCAATTTGGTTTGCAAAGCTGGTGCGGCAGCGATTGCGATGGCTGCTTGGCGCTGGCTGGTGCGTCGATGCGGCTTGCGCTGGCGCGGCCTGGCTCGCGCGCAGCGGCCAGCTACTCTGGCGCGACCGCCGCGGCCGAGGTGGCGCTGACCGCTGGAAACTTCCCAGCGCGTCTCGAAAGCTGCGCTGACGCGTGGGCACTCCAGCGCGAGCCGATGACTCGGGCCGGGCGCAGTACCATGGCGACGTCGACAACGGCAGACGCGAGGATGACAGTAGCGATGCTGGTGACGATGGTGACAGTGACGACAGCAAGGGCAATGACTGTGCCGATGCTGATCACGCCGATGACGATGATGGTGCCCTCGCGTCAGCGATGAAGGTGGTGCGCGCGCCGCCGACGCGCGAGAGTAGCTCGCACGGTGTTATTTGACGGGGATCGCGCCCCCTCCCAGCACGCGCGCCAGGGCGCTCGAATGATCTCGACACGCGCGCCCGAGAGGCACGCTTGGTAGCACATAAAGAAAAGGCTAAAAATTTGAGAAATCGCAAAAGCACACGCGCGGGTTCTTGTTGAAAGCACCTGTCGAGAAACCATGCTCTAATGCTCTCGGGGAACTCGAAAGGGAAATCCGGACGAAACCAAAGGTTCTGGAATTCCAGGAGGCGAGAAGCTGGCCTTCCAGACGGTTCCGCGGAGGCCACGTTCCGCACAAACCCCGCGCGCTTCGCGCCCGTGGGAGCTCCGGAGGCGACCCGCTGGCCCTCAAAACGGTTGAGTGGAACATCCATTCGCGCACACCTCACGAACATCGTACGCCATATCACTCCAGAGACCCGCTCGGCAAACCCCTCACGCACTGCGTGAGCCATGGGCCCCCGAAGGCTCTCAGCTGGCACCCAAGAGCCAAAAAAAGAAAACAAAAAAAAACTCCCGACAGAAGCCAATATTGTTCCACAAAAGAAAAATGCAAAGATGGGTACCGACTACCGACTCTTGTCGAAACCGCGCTTCCGAAGATTCACTGATTGCGAGATGTGCGTGCTCGGTTCCGCTTGGGGGGGCCCGCTGTGACTTCTGCTTTACGGGCTTCAAAAATTTCAAAGACTACGCAATCAAAATGTATGTCACTGATCACGCCATTCTCTTCCCTCAAAAAAATGATCTCCAAAGAAGCCCTGGTGTGCGTTTTGGACAGAAACTTCAAGCCGTGGCGACGAAAAGCCTCACGGAGGCTCAAGGAGGGCGAGCACCTGTCAAAAACCAGCACCCCCAGACCTGGACCCTCGAACCCTGAACCTCGATCTTCCTCCTCCTCCTCCTCCTCTTCCTCCTCCTCCTCCGCCTCCCCCTCAATTGAGCGGCTTGCGCTCACGCCTGCGGTCGCTGGCCACGGGCCAGTGCTGCCGTGTGCAGAGGGCGCCGTCCGTATCTATCAAGATCGTTGGGGGCATGCAGTGCCCCACTCAGGGCACTCCTCAGCACACTGTAATCCCACCAACCCTCTGGGCGTAGGTGGTTTAACGCTGTCTTCACTTCTCCTTCCGAAAACCTGATTCCCTTCGGGGAAGGGTGCCCTCCCCCTCCGAGATGCGCGAAGTGTCTAGAAGTCCCTTACTTCGGTATTATAAAAAAACAAAGCGGGTGTCAGCAGCTGCTGCTGCACAGGATTGCATGAGCTTCTTTCCCCACAAACTCATCCTCATTTTCCTCCTTTTCCTCCTCCTCCTCCTCCTCCTCTTCCTCCTCTTCCTCCTCCTCCTCCTCCTCCGTCCTGGCACGCCTGCTGAGAGATATCCTGGCCCTGCGGCGGGTAGTTCCTCTGCAGGGGCGGCGCTGTGCATACCGCATCGGCCTTGCGTGTCCGGTCGGGGAGGGTGCAGATGCCAGAGGCACAGACAAGGGAGGCGGCGGAGAAGGACGCCAACTATACGTATACACCGACCCCGACCAGGGTCGTGCATTCATATATGCTCCCATCGCTGGAAGGAGGAGAGGAAGAAGGAGAGAGAAGGGAAAGGAGAGGAAGAGGCAGGGGGGAGAAGGGAGGAAGGAAGATGGGATCGAGCGAGGATGGGGTCGAGAGGGCATGAAACGGAGGAGGAAGAAGGAAGGAAGGAGGGAGGACGGGGCGGAGGGAGGGAGGGAGGAAGCGAGAAGGGGAGAGGGAGGGAGGAAGGGAGGGAGGGAGGTAAGGGAGGGAGGGAGGGAGGGAGGATGTAGGAGGGAGGAGGGTAGCAAGGGAGGGAGGGAGGAAGCAAGAGCGAATCAGTGGCGAACCCTACGCGTCCTTGGTCGTGCATTGGTGAAGAAGGGAGCCTCGGTCATCTTGCCGCCGCTGAATATCTTCACGTCGCTGGTGGGGGCACCGATTGGCTGGTCTGACAGCTGGCGTCCGCCATCCAGAGCTTGGCAGCAGCGCTTCTTGCCAAGCCTGGCGAAGACCCGCCTCCGGCCCCGGAGCCATCAGAAGCACGGACCCGGGACCAAAAAAGATCCCAGGGAGGTGGTCGGATGCCCTGTGGCCGCGGACTAAAGAGCACATCGCCAGATGCCCGGGTGGAGCGGTGTGGACACGGTCGGCACGCGGACGAGCAGGGGGCCACATGCGAACCCTACCCCTACCCCTACGACTTCTGAAGTGAACCCCACCCTCCCCCTCCGAAACCGTGGGGGGTAGGGGTGGGGTTCGCATGTGGCCGCCCATCGGCGGTGGACAAACCTCCCTTTAGTAGACCTCCCCTTAGTGAAAACGGCCCGGGACCGAAACCGACGGACCTGGACCCGCAGAAATGACGGCCGCGACGCCCCCTCGCGAACCGAAAACGGCCAATTCCTTAATCGACGTGTCAGGGTAGGAGGTCTATCCACCCCTGAGGCACGTGGACGAGGGCACGGAGGGGTGGGCAGCGCAGGAGTTGCAGACGTGGGGGACGCCGCGCGGGACCGGCAGGGTAACTACACGGGTGGGGGAGGCTATGCAGGGGCCTCGGTGCCTGGCCCGCCAGTGGGCCAAGGCTGGTTCCCAGCCGCGTCCATGCCGCAGGCGGAGAGGAGGGTAACGGCTCGGGGGCCACATGCGAACCCTGCCCCTACCCCCCACGATTTCTGAGGGGGAGGGTGGGGTTCATTTCGTTCGAGAGCTCCCGAGCGAATTGAACCCCACCCTCCCCCTCAGAAATCGTGGAGGTAGGGGTAGGGTTCGCATGTGGCCCCCTAACGACGCAAGGGAACTGGTCCTGAGGAAATGCCGAAGATGTCCTCCCTGGCGCGCGGAGCGCGCCCGGGGCGGCGCCGGAGGCGCCGCCGGGGGGCCCCAGCGCCGATCCGAGAAATCCGCGCGGACCTCCGAGTTCTTATGTTTATGTCACTTTCTGTTCCCCTACTTAAGGAAAGAGACAAAACAAATGCACCCGCGCGGGTAGTAGAGCAGGAACCACGGTGGTTGATGCACCTCGTGCCGACGATTACCCTGGCAATGCGGTTGTTGTACATTGTGCCATGGCTGTTACCGTGCGCGGCACCAAGGTAGTTACCGTGTTACGTAGTGGGTGATCACATGTCGAGGTGAATTGTGTTACCTGCTCCATTGCGAAAGCCGCGCAAGGGGCGATGACATCGAAACCAATGTGATTGAGGCGGAAAATGCTGTTAGACTAGTTTGAAGTACGCATAGGCTGACGACCCATGAACTGCAAATGCTGGTCCGGTGAGGGCGACACGAAGTAACGGCGAGAGGTAGAAACCAACGTTTTGTGCTGGCGGGATGTGCATGAGGATGCCTTGGATGGTGGGCAACCTGAAGGTGGAGCCGATCATGCCCTGATTGATGGACCATGACGTGCGTAAAAAACTGGTGGAGGGAGAGGCTCCTGCTCAGACTGGCCAGAAAACTTCGGGGCAGCACAAGGCGGCGGATGTTGACTGAAGGCGAGGCCGTCTTCTGCGCGACGGCCATACGGTGTGCGGAGGAAGCCATACTGCAATGATCGGACAACCGTTGATGGAGCTGAAGTTGTAGGTAGGTGACCTTTAGAGGAAAGAGAACTATGCACATGCACCGATTCTGGCCAGACCCATTCTGAGCCCATGATCGGTGCATACGCCCTCCTGCCTTCACCAGGAAGGCATATGCACCGATCCTGGGTCAAGGATCGGCCTTGCCAGGATCGGTGCATGTGCATAGTTCTCCTCGCCCGAACCTTGTGACCTTACCAGGTCGGGGTGGGCGCAGTTGGGTGCACGTGCACGCTGTCCATGGACGGTGCGTCTTCACATTCAAAGCAGTAGGTTGGAATGATGGGACGACAATGTGGAAGCTGGGGTCTAGGACAATGGCAGAGCAGTAAATAGATGCAGGTATACGGGATGGTGGAGACGAGGGTGTGGAAGCATAAGTTTTGGCATTGGTATCCGCAGACCCCCGCTTGCTGGGAGGAGAAGGCATGTGAGATGATTGGCTGTCCCCCTCCCCTTTCCTCCTCCCCCCGGGTCCAAAATCCCGTTTTCACGGTAGGGGAGGGGGGGGTATCCGGGCTCCCCGGTGCACCCCCGCAGACTCCAGAGCTTCCAAATGTGCCTTCCGTGACCTCACAGACGTTCCAAGACGGCCCCGAATCGCGGAACGAGTGGCCCAAGACGCATACGATGGCTCCAAGGCACCCCAAGAAGCTTTCGAGACGCCCCAAGAGTCTTCCCAAAAGGGGACCGAGAGGCAAAAATCAATGGTTTTACCTAGATTTTTCATTGTTTCTGGGATTATCGTCTCCTCGAGCTTCCTACGCTCCAAGACGGCACGAGAGGCCCCGTAGACCGCCACAAAACTGCCCAAGAGGCCCCTACAAGGGCCCCAAGACGGCCCAAGCGGGCTCCAAGACGGCCACAAGCGGTGCCCAAGACGGCCGAAGATCACCCCAAGAGGGCCCCAAGAAGGGCGAAGAGGGAGAACACGAACCGAAAATCTGATGTTTCCGCCCTCAGAGACTGAGAGGCCCAAGAAGCCCCAAGAAGCCCCGAAGAGGCCCAAAAAAGGCCCCAAGGCGGCCCCCAACACGCTTCGAAACTGCATCCAAGAGGCCCTGCCAGACCCCCAAACAGCTCCCAAGATGGATGATCTGCTTCTCCAAAGCGCTCGAGCCGCAATGTTGTTACGGCCCCTATCTCTGACACTCGGGCCGCATATCCATCCAGCCCCCCTGGCCAACTGCACCTCTCGCGTGGTCGGCCACATCATTCACTCTCCGCCTCGTCAGGCGGCTCGAAAATCAGCGGCGCGTGGCGATCCATATCCGATCTCCACTCCAGAACTCTTGACCGTAACCATGGGACCCAAACGGAGGCCAAACGCCTCATAGCCATGACTCGGGCGCTCACGAGGGGTGTTCACCACCACTCAATCACTCAGCCGCCCAGCGCCGCGCGCAGGGCCAGCCGGCTTCGACCCGCTCTCGCCGCGAAACCCATAATCTTCAGGAGCTTCTCCATGAGGGGGCCTCCAGGGCACTTGGTTCCGATGTCGTTCGGGCCCCCAGCTCCAACGATGTTGGTCACTCTCAGCTTCTTCTGCTGCACAGCCGTGTGCAACCAGAGAAGGGGCGCGTGCAAATGGCGAACGCGCCCCCCTCCACAAAGCCTGGCGACACGTCTAACCACCGTCGCGTCACGCTTCAAAATTACCTCGAGGCCCACGCCCATGTCGCGTCGCGGGCAATTATCTCAAGTCACCAGGGCTGACCCCCTTCACCAGGGCATGAAACTCTGCTTCTCCTGCGGAAAAGGCATTGAAGCCTTGGGTCGTCGAACTGTTCCTCCGAATCCAGTGTTGACCTACCAGCACTGTACATGATGATGTCGACTTCCCCGTCGCAGCCAGCAAAATCGCCGCCGGCGTAGCGAGGGACCTCGTCGATCTGCCTGCCGCACGCACTCCACCACCAGCCTCGGCTTGCCGATGAGGTAGCGGCCGATCCGCGCCACGGCCTTCCATCCGCCAACTGTCGGACTCTGCATCACTCGCGCTGTCTCCTTCGCCGCATACTGTAGATCAGGCCGATCTTGAGCCAGGTACTGGCATGCAGATGGATCGGTACATGGCTCGCTCTCTGCCTTGAAGAATATCGCCTTCCATGTCGTGTCGCTTCACTACAGGCGTTGTTACCGCCTTGCGCTGTCGGACCTGTCGGCCCAGCTGTGCCGAAGTGATCTCCACGCGCCTCGGGCCCGCCCCGCGCTCCATCTTCTCGACCTCAACGCCGGTGGTCCTGACCCACCTCGCGACCAAATTGGGCGCCACCATCTCGTCGAGGTCCCCGCAAGACGAATCGGGCCCCAGCACTCCACTCCTCGGACCTTCGCGATGACATTCTCTCCCAGGCCCCTTCCTGCCACCGAGCACCACGAAATCGTAGCCCAGTCCGCGGACGAGGGGGGGACCAGGGACGGGGTCTGGAGCGCGGCGCGCGAGGCCAGCACAGCGCGAGCGCGCGGGGGGGGGGCGCGCGAGAGAGACGCGCGCGAGGACCCCCACGGGCGAGTCGCGGGGGAGCAATGTGGGGGAGGGAGGGGTGGGGAAGGAGGCGCCAGTGGGCGATGGAGGGAGGGAGGGAGGGAGGGAGGGAGAGCGGGGGGGAGGGAGGGAGTGAGGCGAGAGGAGGGAGGGGCGGGCCACCAAAGACGCGTCTGCGATCAAGCACGCCCCAGGAAAAGACGGGAAAGGGGGGGTCGGGTGGCGGTGTCAAGTGGCATGCGGGGGTAGGGCCTCAGGAAAGCACCCGCACCGCGACCGCTCCACTGCCCACACGAGGCGGAAGGGAGGGAGCAGCAGGGCAGCAGCAGGAGGGGGAGCCGCGCGGCGGGACGCGGGTCGGCGCCAACTGCTCTGTTCCTGCCCCATTCTGACCAACCCGTCGTCCTCGCACCACCGGACGTGTCGGTGGAGCGGTCCGGGTGTTTCGCCGTGAGATCTCCTCACAACTCATGACCCTGACGCTCGAATAGTGAGGGCGGGTCGCGTTGAACATGCGGTTCTCGCCATGGCGCCGCACACACTCGTCTGGAAACATTGGAGGTTGCAACAATTACACGGGTGGAGCGCAGGTGGCTCTCAAAATGTCTCGCCTTAGCGACGCGCATGCTGGCTTGAAGAATCCAACAGGTACACTGATGAAGGGCGGTCCCTCGTCAAAATGGTGCTCTCGGCTCATGATGCCTCAAATATTGATACACGGAACGTAATATTGTGCAACTGCTACATCGAGGTTGGCTTGGAGCTCTCGGTTCATGTGTTCGATGATACCCAGCGCATCGAACATGCAACTTATGCACAGATGGAGGGTACCTACTGTTCAATCGATTGCCCTCTCTGTATGTGTATATAGATATATACATGTATATATATATATATATGCATATATATACACAAATTGATATTGATATATTGATAGAGAGGGAGAGAGATGATACTCGCTCTCTCTCTCTCTCTCTCTATCATACATGCATACATGCATACGTACATACATACATAGATGCATGCATGTACATATGCATGTATTTACATACACAAACATACACACCCATGTATACGTATACATATACATATACATATACATACATATATATATATATATATACACATATACATAAACATATACATATACATACACATATACATATACAAATACGTATACATATACATATACATATACATAAACGTATAAATACACATATGCATATATATATATGTATGCATATGCATATACATATATGTATGCATATGCATATGCATATACATGAACATAAACATATATATGTGTTTATATACATACATGTATAGACATATATATATATATATATATGTATGCAAGTATGCAAATAGAGATACATATGCACATCCAAAATACATACCTATACATATATCTATATATTTGTATTTGTTCATTTACATATACATATCCAGGTACATATACATATGCATATGCATATGCATATGCATATACATATACATGTGCATAAACAAATACACATACCTATACATTTGATACATACATCTACATATACACATACATATATATATACATACACATATACATATACATATATATAGACATACATATACAAATACATACAGATATACATATACATATACATACACATATGCATATACAAATACAAATGCATATACGTGTACGTATACATATGCATATACATACACATATACATGTACATATATAAACCTGTACATATACATATAAATTTACGTATACATATACATATACATATACATATACATACACATACACATATACATATACATATACATATACATACACATATACATAAACATATACATATACATATACATATACATACACACATATATGTACATGTACATATACATATACATATACATAAACATACAAACATACATTTGCAAATACGTTCGTGTCGTCTATACACACATCTATGCTCCACCTTGCCCTGAGGCTCGAACTGGTCCCTTAGAGCTCTTCGCCCTTAACCCTGAGGATGGAGTACTGCGGGGTCCAGACCCCGAATGACCGGATCTGATGGAGAGCGTAGCGTGCCTTCGACAGCTACCCCCATGTTGTCGCACGACTTGTTCGGGGCCCACGGAGCCCCAAAACAGGCCAAGGGGCCATCAAGAGGCCCAGAATAGGGTCCGAGAGGGTCCCGGGTCGCCGAAAGATCGCTCCAAGACGCCCAAGATGGCCCCCGGACGGTCCAAGAGACTCAGCCTCAAGAGGCTCAAAGAAGCCACCCAAGAGGGCCCCGAGAGGCCAAAATCATGAATTCCACACAAGGATTTGAAGGATTTGGGCGTACTCGCCTTTTGGGGCTGCCAGCGCTCCAAGACGGCCCAAGAAGCCAACAAGATCGCCCCAATGCAGCCCAGGAGGCCTCCAAGAGGGCCCCGACACAGCCCAAGAGTCTTAGAGTGGGCCCCAAAAGGCTGTCAAGACAGCTCAAGAGGGCCACAAGAGGGCCCAGGAGAGGCCCCAGAGGGGGAACACGAACCGACATGTGGAGCCTTCCGCCCCAACCAAGGTAACTTCCGAGACCGCCAGCAGGCCCCCGAGAAGCTCCCCGGAAGATCAAGGAGGCCCCCGAAAGGCTCAAATCGGGCCCGAAGAGGCACCCGAGCCTCCCGACAGGCCTCCCAAGAGATCCCCAGTCATCCAAGAGGCCTCTGACCTACAACCTAGGCACGGTGGCGGAGTGTACCGAAGACCACTAGACAGAGAGAGAGAGAAAGAGAGCGAGAGAGAGAAATAGAGAGCTCCTTAACATGCTGATGATAATCACGTTGTGGGCAAATCCATAAAAGCATGGAGGCGGCGATGTTCAACTGGTAACAATTCCACAGCTTATGATGAGGGAATGTTCGCAGAAACGTTCATGCATCCTGAGGATACCTCCTGGTCCTCCTCCTCATCCTACTCCTCCTGCTCCTCCTGCTTCTCCTGATCGTCCTGTTTCTCACCCCCTCCTCTTCACCTGGCGGAACTGAGCGGACTGTGCTCCTATGCGATGCCGTGCTGTGCCGCTGGGCACGGTGCCTTCAAACACGGGGGCCTGAGGTGGGCCGATCGTCACTGAAGCACGCACCACCGGTGCCGCCGTCGTTCACAACGCAAAGGCCCCGCTCCAGCGCAGCCTCGTGGGCACTGCGGTCAGTTCAGTGTGCGACCCAGGGTCATCCAGAACAGATGTCTGCGTGCCGTCCCCTCTTGTCCCGTGGAGCCAGACGCAGGTTTTGGCGTAAACTTGTCGTATGCCCACATGCTTCCTGTTCCTCCTCCTCCTCCTCCTCCTCCTCGTCTTTCTCCTCCTCCTTTCCTCCCAGTGCTTCTCTTACCTTCCTCCCTGTACTCGTCATCCTCCTCCTCGTTCGTTTCCTCTTCCTCGTCCTAGTCCTCCTCATCGTCCCCATCCTCCTCCCAAATCCTAGTGCTCATCCCACTGTCTACGAAGCGGCGACCGCGGCAGACCTTCCACGACGCGCTCCGACTTCCTCTCGGGGTCTGGGCGGCGGAGTCGACAAAACGACGGGGATCTGAGCAGACTCGGGAGTTGCTCGGCTCAGCCACCCGCAAGGGTGACCCTGGCCAAGAGTGAGCTTTGGTGCGCGGCTTGCCGATCGGCGCGTGCGGTGCGACAGTGTGCGACACGACAACCACGAGCGCTTGGGTCACGCACTGCCGAGAGGGCCCTCTGGCGTGTGGCGCCGGTGCTGAGCGGTCAAGGACAGTCAAAGGCAGGGAGCAGAACCTCCCTGGGTCGATGCAAGCCTCCCTGTTGCTCTCGCTTCCAGCATCCCCCCTGCCCTGCCCCTGGGGTTCGCCTGCGTGGTCCCCATCTTGTTGCTGCTGAGTGCCCGCTTCACCTGCTGCACACAGGCGAGAAGCAGAAAGAAAATGCTACGCATATAGTGCTCGTAACTAAGAGGATCACTCCAGGAGCATCTGGAGGAGTGGCAGAAACTGATCGACACAAGATGGTCGTAGCTGGTGACACGACGCGTCGTTCGGTGGGTTATATTAATTGAACCACGTGTGACGCCTGAATGTGCGTTGGCGAGAGTGTGCGCGTACAAATATACGTGAGCGCTCACTTTCACTTGTGCACTTGCATGCCGACACCTGTATAGACCTCCGTAAAAACTCGCATTCATGCCGATGCAGTTGTACGCCCACGCGCGTTCCCGTACGAACACTGAATTACCCACTCTCTCGCCCACATCAATATCAATGTGCACTCATCCGCCGCCATGCCTCTGGTACACTGGGGTGTGTTAGAATGCTTGTATGTTGTCTCGCAAGGAACGACCTCCTCCCCGCCTGATGAACGACCGTGACATCATCTATGTACAACTATATGCGGTGTAAATGGCAAAAGTCAACACCAAACAAATCAGCAAACAAACAAACTATCAGTCAGACAAAGAGATAAACAGACAAACAAACTGCCAAACAGACATAACGCCCCAGACGACTGCCACATGCTCCCCAAAATGCCTCAGGAGGTGCCAAAACGCCTCCAAGAGGCGAATCCTTAGAAATTACCCTGGCGACGCACCTAACCATCTGCAACGAATGGCCAATAGCAGTGGGCCCATATTACACGGATGTTGGCATGACAATGAACATGCTGTGCTGCGAAAACTACTGGAACGGCTTACCCGTTGCACGGCTCACGGGACATATTTGAGTGACGTTGTGCCTTAGGATATGACGTGCGAAATGGAAGGACACGGATGACCAAGAGAAGGAGTGGGGCGCAAGGATGTAGAAACATGTGGGGGGGATAAAGGAACAGCGGCAGGGCCGTAGAACGGGTCCGAATGAAGGATCAGGAGGTACAAGGATGGCAGGAAGCGCAGGGTAAAGCGAGAAAGGAAGGCATGAGGGTAGACAACGATGGACAGACAGAAGCACAGGGAGTGGCCCACAAAAGCGGCGAATGACGCGCAACGTGCAAAACCCAAAGAATGCGAAGACTCAACTGGATCCGCGTAGGACACTACTCCGCTTGACCTCCCAGGGACCCACGAGAATGGCCACAGCTGCGCGGTTGGCAGCACCTAGGAAGGGGGGTGTCTCATCCTGACTTGCGACACACCGCTCCGCTGAATCTACCAGGGGCCCGCGAAACTGGCGACGGCTGCGCAACTGACGCAATTTGCAGCACCAAGGGAAGACTACGTCACGTTTGGCCCGCGCAAAGCACCACTTAGGACCCCCCAAAGGCCCGCGACAGCGGCGAAACATGCACAGCTGGCAGAACCCAGAGATGGCGAGGTCCACACTTTCGCGTGGCACACCACTCCGCTGGACTTCCCAAGGCCCACGAAAGTAGCAACACGTGCGCAATCGGCAACACCCAAGAAGGGCGAGGGCCCACTCTGACATAAGTAGAACACCACTCCTCCTAACCTCCCTAAGGCCCACGACAGTGGCCACAATTGGCCCCTTAGCCGAAACGGGAAACGGGGAGGCCGAGATCTCACTTTGGTTTACGTTGGACAGCACGCCGCTGGACCCCGCAAGGGCCCACGAAAATGGCGAAACCTGCACAAGTGATAGCACGCACGGAGGGCAAGGTAGTTTGAAGGGGCTGGGAGGCCCAACCAGAAGCTTCGCCTGAGGCGAAGCCCATATCCAACTCTGTTGCACCGAAGTAACGATAGTCCCAGAAGTAGGAGATCGTCGCGGGAACGACGGGCCATGTCAAACGAAGATTTGTTCGGTTTCAGTGGCAGGCAGTGCGCCTCGCGATGAGGCACGGTCATACGTTGGCGGCCAGCCGTTTGAGCACAAACGGCCGCGGACAAACGCTCGCTATCTCTCGCCCTTGTCCCCGCCCCCTTTAGTCGGGGGGGGCGACGAAGCGTGAGTCCGCCGCCCGCTATACAGTAGACACACTAAATATACACACAGAGAAGGCAGCAGCAGACGGGCTCAACAAGGAATGTTGACCCGCACGCAAGAGCCCTTGCAAGCAACTTGCCTCGTTGGCAAGTCACCGTGCAGGCGATTGCTCTTCAGGCGGTGCAGACGATCCTGTCTGGCCAGCCCTGTATGGAGAGTGTCGTTCTAAGACGTGTTTGCAGGATTGCGTTCTCCCATGACTTGTAGGATCATATATCTACCGATGTTCCCGTTGGCGTGGCCGTCCGCGGGCATGTCGCGAGTGTCACACCACCGCACACTACGCACGACACCTCGTTACATCACCTGTCGCATCCAAGTGATACGTCCCCAAAGTGCACACCCAGTCGGTTTCTTCAGGTCTTTGCTTGACAAGGACTTGAAAACAAATTCCGCATCGATCTTCCAAGCAGGCGCGCCAGCGGCGCACGCTGGCCACAGCGCCGTCGCTCCTCGGCGCTGGGACTCACACTGTTGCAGGGGAGGGCGGTGTCAGGATGGAGCACATCCGCCCGCGAGTCGCTGCCACGGACTGGAGGGCCAGTCGAGGAAGTGCGCGGGCGGGCGGTCGCTTGCCCCTGCTCGCGCGTTGCTGCCACGGGCTGACGGGTCGGTGGAAGTGCGCCGGTGGGCGGTCGCCTGCTCCTGCTCGTCTGGCGCCCCCGGCTTCTGTTCCAACGCCTGCTCTCTGTCCCCAAGTCGTCGTCGTCGGCGTCGGCGTCGGCGTCGGCGTCGGCGTCGTCAACGGCGTCGGCGTCGTTGGCATCGGCGTCGTCGTCGGCGTCGGCGGCGGCAGCGGCGGCGTCGTCGGCGTCGGAGAAGGAGTCGGCGTCGGTGTCGGCGTCCGCATCAGTCAGCACGGGTGGCGGGGCTCTGTCACGGGGGCCCAGCACGTCCTCCAGGCCCCCATCGAATCACCGGCCGCGCGGGGCTGAAGGGCCAGTCGAGGAAGTGCGCGGGTGGGCGGTCGCCTGCTCCTGCTCGTCTGGCGCCCTGGCCTCTGCTCCGACGCCTGCTCTGTCCTCGGGTCGTCGGCGTCGGCGTCGGCGTCGGCGGCGTCGTCGTCGGCGCCGGCGCCAGCGTCCGCGTCAGCGTCGGCGTCGTCGGCGGGAGGGCGGGCCGTGCTCGCACCGGGACAACGGGTGACAGCTGGCGGCGCAGAGGGGCCTTGCTCGCTCCAGGACAACGGCTGCACGGCGCCGCCCCCCCACCTCATCCGCAGGGGGGGCGTCATCTCCAGGTTGGCAACTGATCGTCGCGAAAGTCCACTGCGGAACGAGAGGAGGAACGGGGGGCGCCCCCAGGCGCGCGACTGATCGTCGCAAGAGTCCTCTGGACACGGGAGGGGCGGAGGGCGGGGAAGCAGCATCTCCAAGTAGGCGAGTGATCGTCGCAAATATCCTGTGTGAATCTTCCCTTGGCAGGCGACTGATCGTCGCAAATTTACCCTGGGAAACGGAGGGGGGGCACCATCTCCAGGTTGGCGAAAGATCGTCGCAAATGCTATCTCTGGATCGTCTCCGGGCAGGCGGCTGACCGTCAACCAGGTCCCGGCGGCCTCAGCGACGCGCCATGCCCAGCGAGCAGAAATCGCGTCTCTCCGCCTCGCGGCGCAGGAGGCCAGGAGGAGCTCGGGACGTTGGCGCAAGCCCCACATGGAGCAGGTCATGTTGCCGTGGCTGAGCATGCCGACGATCGCAATCGTGGCCCAGCGAACGGCGGCGATCATGGCCGCCATCTCCCTCTGCTTCTCGGCAGCGCTGCTGGACGTCATCTCCCAGAAGCCGAAGTCGCCCGCCACGGCAACGTAGCCCACGGACTGGTCTTGGGGCAGCGCGCCGAGTGCGAGATACGCCACGATCTGCGCCCAGTCCGCGGCGAGAGCCTCCGCGTCGACGAACTCCCCCTCCTCGCCCACCACCGCGGCCAGGCGACCGCTGGCGATCTCGGCCGCCAATTTCTCATGCCTGTCCCTGGCGTCGCTCGACGTCAGCACCCGGGAACTGAAACCACCCGTCGCAGCAGCGGGACCAGCGGACTGGTCCTGGGGCAGTTCGCCAGAGACGCCGCGCGCCATGGTCTGCGCCCAACCCGCCGCGGGAACCTCGGAGGCCGCCTCGAGGTCGCCCAAATTGTCGGCGATCTTCCGGCCAGCAGACGGCGACAGGTACACTGACGGCACGCTGGTAATCTCGGCGGCGACGTAGCTCGTCGTCGCCAGCATGGACACACGTCCACGCTTCATCTCAATCGAGCGCCGGCGGACGGAGTTCCCCGCGCCGCCGCCAGCAGCGAAGCCAGCGAGATCCCAGCCAACTGGGCGCCGAACCCCCGGCTCACTCTCAAGGGCGCGCAGCGGCGAGCCCATGCGGCGCGCCCGCGGCGGATGGCGGCGCGGCCCCAGCGACGCGCTCTCCCCGACGAGCGGCCGGCGCGTCGCTCCGCCCCGCGGCGCGGGAGGCCACGGAGAGCTCGGCAAGTTGGCGCGGCCTCGCCTCTGCTCGCCCCCGGCCTCGCTGGACACCAGCGCCTCGAAGCCGAAGTCGCCCGCCGCGGCGGCAGAGCCAGCGGCGCTGCACGCCGCGACCTGCGCCCAGCCCGACGCGGGAGCACGGCCGCCCTCAGCCGGCCCGCAGGCCACATTCGGCAGCCGCCAAGCAGCAGCGCAGGCGGCAGCGGCGCCGCCGGCGCGGCAGCAGTCGGCGGCGCGGCGGGCCCCGAGCACGGCAGCACGAGGGCCGGTCGCGGCAGCTCGGGGCGAATTGCGGCGCGCGGCCGCGGCGGGACGCCGCGTGCGGCGGCCGCGGCGGCCATAGCGGCAGCGCCGACGGAAGCCGCGGCAGGCGCACTTCGGCGGCGGCGACGGCAGCCGCGGCTGCGCCAGCCGCCGCGCGGGGGCAGCCGAAGCGGCGGCGGCAGCCGACGGGGAGGGGGCAGCAGCCGCGGCCACCGCGCCGGCGGCGCCGGCAGCCGGGCCGGCAGCCGCCGCGGCAGCGGCGTCGGCCGCCGCGCGAGCGGCCGCAGCAGCGGCCGCAGCGCCAGCGGCCACGGCAGCGGCGCGCGCAGCGGCCAGCCCCAGGGCGGCCGCGCGGGCCACGGCGGCCGCAGTGCCGGACGAGCAGCGGGCCGCGGCGGCGGCAGCCGCGTCAGAGGCGGCCGAGGCGGCAGCGGCGCCCACGGCGGGGCCGGCCGGCGCCCAGCGCCCGCGGGCGCGGCGCTGGCGGCCGCGGCGGGGACGACGGCCGGCCACGCGGAGTCAGGAGCCGCGGCCGCGCGGCGGGCGGCACTGGCGCCTTCGTCCTCCTTTTCCTCATCCTCCTCCTCCTCCTCCTCCTCCTCCTCCTCCTCCTCGTCGCCCTCCTCCGCATCCTCATCCTTCTCTTCGTACTATGATTATTATTCTTTTTACTGCCATTATTGTTAATATTAGAACTATTGTTATTACTAGCATTACATTTAGTATTAGTATTATTATTCATAATAATATGAATAACATTATTAGCATTATCATTATTAGTAGTATTATTAATATTATTAGTATTATTATTATTAGTATTATTATTATTATTACTCTTATTATTAATAATAGTATTATTATTATTATCATTATTATTATTACTACTAGTATTACTATTATTAAAATTATTCTTATTATTATCATTGTTATTATTATGATCAGTATTATTTTTTTATTATTAGTATTAGTAGTATTATTATTATTAATATTAGTACTGCGATTATTATTATTATTACTCCTATTATTATTACTACTACTACTACTACTACTACTACTACTACTACTACGACTACTGCTACTACTACTACTACTACTACTAATAATATTACTAGTATCATCATCATTGTTATTAGTATCAGCATTATGGTTATCATTCATATTTGTTGTTATCAAAATTATTATTACTATTATTATTGTTGTTGTTATTATTGATATTAGTATTATTAGTATCATTACTAGTATTATGATTATTACTGCTACTAATAGTAGTATTATTAGTATTGTTACTATTAAGATTGTTATTACTACCACTATCATTATTACTAGTAGTAGTAGTAGTATTATGAGTAGTAGTATCAGTATAGTAGCATTGTCATTGTTACTAGTATGAGTAGTAGTAGTAGTAGTAGTATTCCTATTATTATCATCCTTATTATTATCATTCTCCTTATTCTTAGTAGTAGTATTATTGTTATTCGTATGATTCATATGTTTATTATTACTGTTAACATTATTATTATACTTCTTCCTCCTCCTGCAACTCCTCCTCCTCCTCTTCCTCCTCCTCCTCCTCCTCCTCCTCCTCCTCCTCCTCCTCATCCTTCTCATCCACCTCCTCCTCCTCCCCCTCCCCCCCCCACCCACCCCCTGCTCCTCCTCCCTTCCCCATCCTCCTCCTCCAACTCCTCCTCCTCCTCCTCCTGCTCCTCATCATCATCATCATCATCAGCAGCAGCATCATCCGCATCATCATCATCATCACCAGCAGCAGCAGCAGCAGCAGCATCGTCAGCATCACCATCAGCATCATCATCACCATCATCAGCATCAGCATCATCATCAACGTCAACATCATCATCGTCATCAACATCTTCATCATCGTCTTCGTCGTCATCAACGTCATACTACTAAGACTAATAATAATAATGATGATGATTATGAAAATACTCACAAGACTCCGAATCATCATCAGCAGCATCAGCATCACCATCGTCGTCATAATCATGAACATCATCACCAGCAGCATCAGCATCATCATCATCATCAGCAGCAGCATCAGCATCATCATCGTCAGCAGCATCATCATAATCAGCATCCGCATCAGCATCATCATAATCAGCATCATCAGCAGCAAAATCATAATCATCATCAGCACCAGCATTATCATCATCGTCTACACCATCATCAGCATCATCATCAGCATCATCAGCCTCAGCATCATCATAATCATAATCGTCATCATCAGCATCATCATCAGCGTCATCCGCCTCATTATCGTCATAATCTTCGTCATCAGCATCATCATCAACAGCATCATCATGCGATTACTCCTCCTCCTTCCCCCTCTTGGGGAACAACGGTTTCTCCATCCCTGTGCTCCTCTGCATGCTCCCCCACGTCCTTGATCCTGGCAACTCGTCTGGGCATCGTCTCTGGATGAGCTGGTGGGGATACGTTTTTTGGTCGCGAGCGCAAACGGTACAGCCGCGCGCCGTCAGAACGAAGCAACAATGCAACGGCCTAAGTTACGCACCAAGCGCACAGGAGCGAACTGCGCTGCGGCTCAGAAAACGCGGAGGACCAGGAAAACTGGTGGGGATACTTTTTTTGTTTTACAGCCGCGGGCGGAAGCGCCAGCGGCGGCGAGTAACGGTCGGGCTGCGGCCGAAACTAATTGGCCGGACGCGCGCGCGGGCCGCGGCCGGCGCCGGGGCGGCGGGTGCAAGGGTGCTGCAACCCAGGGTGTCTGACGCCCAGGGACCTGGTGGGGATACGTTAAGCGTCAAGAATTCCTAGCAACCATCTGCGTAGCAACCCCACTTCCATCCCTCCCTGGACCCTTGCTGGGAAAGATCGTCATTTTTCTCCGGCAGGGGCCAGAACCAATTGAACTGACTGGTCCCCCACCGCCCGCACGCTTCGGATCCCGAGCACTGTAGCCCCCCTACCCATTGGTCGGAAGAAGTAGGTAGAAACATAAAGTAGGAAGGCGTTGGAAATAGATTGGGTTTCCGCACGCCTCCTGAAGAGGGAGGAAGAGGGAAAACCACTCGACTCTTGAAGTAGGAAGGCGCTGAAAGTAGATTGAAATCTGGGAATCCAAAAATACCTACTTTCAACGACCGATGGGTAATCCTGTACGCCGCACCTCGAGATGCGCTTTGCTGTTCTCGTTCTCGGCAGTTTCCTGAAGCCCACAAGCCCGATTGCTGGCGCCTGGACGGAGGGCCCCCCGTCCTCTGCATCGGCGAGACCTCTGCGACACCGCAGAGGAGGGGCAGGCCTCGCGCCCCATTCGTGCGAGTGACAGTCAAGTCGAGTCTTCTCGCCACCTGGGGGCAGGGTGCATTCCTTGGAGGCCTGGAAATGGGCACCAACACCAACACAGGGGGGGTGCCTCCACAGGGGGGAGATGATCCTAGATTTCGGTGTTGGTGGTAATATTTCGGCCACCTTGGAAGCCAGACTATTACCACCATCACCGAGATCGGGATCTTCATCCCTCGGTGGAGGCACACCGCCGAAATTGGTGTTGGTGTCAATCTCTAGGCCTGCGAATTCCACAGTACTGCCTGGGATGAGCCCGCTTCTCTCGATCAAGTCTTGACACCAAGCCGCGATCGTCCACGTGCGCCGGGCATGAAGGCGGCCATGCGTGTTGTCGGTCAGTCGGGAGCGGCCATGGGGGTCACCTCCCTCGATGAAGGCCCCGATTCCCAGCCGTCCTCGTCTGGCACAAACCGTAGGTTCGTTGTCCATGGTAATGAAGCCCGTCGGTAGTGGGGCAGACGGTTGGCCACGTCGCCAGGAAGGGGCCCGTGCACGAGCGCAGTCGTGCTTTTCTGGCTGTCGCCGCACTGGCTCCAGCCTGAGGTCCGCCGCCTGGTGCGCACAGTGAGCGAGGTCTCATTTTGGCTCGCGTGGGGCACAACTCCGGTGGACCTCCCGGGAGTCCAAGAAAGTGGCGGCATGCAGCTTGCAGCCAGGGGAGCGGCGAGGCCTGATCCTGCTCTGCGTGAAGGCACCGCTCCGCTGGACCTGCCAGGCGCTCGCGAGGGTGGCCACCGTTGCGCCACCAGCACTTCCCAGGGAGGGAGAGGTCCCATCCGGGTCCGCGCAGGACACCACTCCGCTGGACTCACCCAGGGGCCCAGAAAGAGGCGAGATGTCGGCCCGCAGAGTCGCTCCAGGGAGGGGGAGGGAGGGAACGAGGGGGGCGGGACGGAGGGTGGGAGGGGTGAGAAGGAGGAGGAGGAGGAGGGACAATATCCCGCCGCGCCACCGCCAGCTTGCATCGCCAGACGCGAGACGGTTCCCTCGGGCTCCATGCCGCGGATGCCGCGCCGAGCCCTCGTTCCCTTTTTCTCTCTCTCTTTCTCTCCCTCTCTCTCTCCCTCTTTCTCTCTCACTCACTCCCTCTCTCTCTTTGTCCTTTTCTTTTTGTTCCTCTCTCTCACTCTTTCTCTCTCTCTCTCTCTCTCTCTATCTCTTTCTACCTCGTCCCTCCTCCGTGTCCCACCTGTTCCTCCTGTACCTCCTGCTCCTGATTCTGCGAATACAAGGCCAAAGCAGTATGTCATGGAAAAACCTGCGGGGAACAAAAAACACTCGAATGTTGTCCAAGAGCATGGAAACGTTCATATGATTTCCCTGCTAAATATTGGAAAACACAACAACCAAAATCACATTGCGCCTGAGGCCCGGACGTACATCACCCAGGCCTGCGCAGCGGCCAGCTTGCTGCTCAACGAAATCGAGTTGTTCCTCGTAGTCGTCTTTTTATCCTCCACACCCTCCGCCCCCTGCTCCTGGTCCTGCTTGTCATCCTGTTACTGTCACAACCCTCCCTTTGTTCCTGATGTTGCTTTTGGTTGTCATGTTCCCTCCGAACCGTCGTTGTCATATGGTTGCGTATGTTTATGTTGGTGTTTCTCAACATCATCAGCAGCAGCAGCAGCAGCCTCATCATCACCACCATCATCACCATCATGACCATCACCACCATCATCAAATCATCCTCATCACCACCACCATCACCGTCATCCTGTTCATCTTGTTGCTTAAGTTGCCCTCATCACCCCTCCTTTCTAAACCCTCTCCCCGCCTCCTTCCTCTTCCAGGGCAACGAGGGGAGCAGCCAGCCTCCAACTTCGCGCCGTTGCGCAGCAGAATGAAGCGAGAGGCACCGCTGCCGAGCAGATCGTCGATGGCGCGAGCCTCGAGTGCGAGAAGGCGTGGACGAGGAGGAGGGGAAGAGGAAGAGGAAGAAGGAGAGGGAGGGGGAGGAGAAGGATGAGGACGAAGAGGAAGAGAAGAAAAATAGTTGTTTCACCCCCGCAGGCGCTCAGCCAACGTCACAGCCCAGTGTCAAGTAGACAAAAAACAAAAGGGCCAGGGCGACAGCGGCGGTGGCGGCAGGGGCACTCGGTCGACCATGTTCGGGACACCCTGGCACGTGGGCAACAGGAGAAAAAAGAGAGGGCCCACATTCGAAACAAACGGGCGCTCCCCTGGCCGAAACAAGCCCTCCGGAGCACCAGAGCCAGACCGAAGAGCCCAACCCAACCTGCACCACCAGCAGCGGCAGCAGAAGCGCAGCGGAAGCAGCAGCAGACGGGACACGCAAGGAGGGGGCACGCACCAGCACCAGCAAAGAAGCAACAGCAACAGAGGGGCGCACAGTCGACCCCGCACCGCAGCAGAGGGGAGAGAACCCCAGGAGAAAACGAGGACAGACTGCCAGCGCACCCACCATCGGGAAAGGACAGCCAGTGAGCGCGAGGTCCACGCAGCCCGAATAAACGCCTGGCAACCACTCTTGCAGGGGGGAGCGCCCGGTTCTTCCACGAGAGCCCGCCACGCAAGGGCGGGCACCAGGCGACGGCATGGGAGGACTCCCGCGCTCGGGCGCAAGGGCCGATTGAGGACGCCTTCCTCGCCCGAGAAGTCCCTCCGGCAAGTGGCGACGAGGAACTCGACGGATCACCAGGAAGAGCTGCGGTGGCCACGGGGCGAGGCGGAGAGCGGATCGGCGCCGACGCGTCAGTCCAGGGGCGGGGAATTCCTCCCAGAACATTCCTGACACCTTCCTCGAGAAGGTTTCAGGAGGGCTTCCTCCTAAAATCCTTCCTAAAACCGTCCTCCCGAAGGTTTTTTTTGGGGGGGGGGATTCCCCCTAACGTTCAAAAAAAACCTTCCTCAGGAAGGATGTTTCAAAGGTTGTCTGAGAATTCCTCCTAAAACATTCCAAAAACCTTCGTCGGGAAGGTTTCAGGAAGGCTTCCTCCTAAAAGCCTTCCTGAAACCTTCCTCAGGAAGGTTTCAGGAGGGCTTCCTCCTAAAACCCTTCTTACAACCTTCCTGGGGAAGGCTTTTGAGAGGTTTTTGGAAGATTCCTGCTACAACCTTCCAAGAACATTTTTCGGAAGGCTTCAGGAGGGGGTGGCCGAACTGCCGCACCCAACCGAAGAAGGTTCAGTTCAAGAAGGTTCATTTCGCACATTTTCATATCTGGCCCAGCTGTCGCGCTCGCCATGGCCCGAATGTACGACGGAAGAGCAAGCGTACGAGCAAGTGACACGCGGCAGCCCCCGCATCAGGGCAGTGCTGCAAGGGGGGGTCGGGAGGGGCGGGGTCGAAGGACGGATGAAGGGAAGGACGGAAGGGAGGCTCCCCGCGAAGAACGATCGCACCTCTACTCGGCGCCGCGACTGCGAAGACCCACGTGGGGCCATCGAAACAATCGCGTCGCGAATGCCGCCTAGAAGGTGGGACGATGGAAGGGGAGCTCCCCATGGGGCCACAAAACGTGTAATGGTCGCGCAAGCACCACGCAAGGGCGCTGCCGCTGGGACCTTCGGCAAATATCCATGTGGGGCTACGAAACATGCGAGGGCTGCGCAAGTACCGCACGCGCTCTTTCCCACTGGGGCCTTCGGTGGAACTCCCTCTGGGGCCACGATGCGCGCGGGTGCTGCGCGAGTACCGCATGTGACCTTTGCCGCCGGGGCCTTCGACAAAGCTCCAAACAGGCCGACGAAACATGCTAGGGTTCCGCAAGTACCGCGCGCGCCTTTCACGCTGGGGTCTCCTCCTCCGATCCTCCTCCTCCTCCTCCTCCACCTCCTCCTACTCCTCCTCCTCCTTCTCCTCCTCCTCCTCCTCCTCTTCCTCCTCCTCCTCCTCCTCCTGTCGCCGCTTCCACTCAGGAGCGGTGACCGACTAGCACCATTTGCCAGATGAACCCCCATTCGCGTACACCCTGCAACACAGCCGAAGGGGTGAGAGGGGGATGGCGCTGCACTCTTGCGTGCTTGCTCTGCTGGTCGATCAGCTGGTATTTGGGTCACGGCATCGGTGCGAAGGGGAGAAATCCGATTCCAGCGTGTACCGGAAGGGTGCTGCTGGGACGCGCTGGCACAGGTCTCATCTCTCGACTGAAGAGAAGTGACGGTGCGCACTGTGACGTTCAATCCATCGTATGCAGACTACGACAGAGATCAAGGACATTATCAGCGAACTAAAATCGTGGGACTGTGTGATTCTAGTCGGTACACAACGCAAGGCGGAGCTGGATTATCCGAGTGCGCAGGTACAGCTCAATAACCACTGAGGCATCACGTTCGGGAGAGGGAGAGGGAAACACACGAATAAGAGCTGTGGAGTATCCATACTGATGGGAAATCGCTATTCAAAGACATCCCTCAGAGAGGTATTCGACCCTCCGAAGGCGATCCAGGGGCGCGCAGGAACAAGGAGTATAAGGACTACACAAGAGGATCTACTAAGTGCGGCGGTCTACTTCGCCCCTGTGACGGGCAAATGGAATGAGGAGACCGATGAACGTATCTGCAGCTGGCTGGACGGCCTATATGATAAAGTAGGAGCACGAGTTACTTTGCTAGTGGGAGGGGACGTGAACAGTGAATTCGGTCTAGCACGGGACGAGACAGGGGTGATGGGCAGCACACAGGGGAGATAAATCGGACGCTACGACCCAGGGTGTGGAAACACGAACGGCAAACGTTTCAGGAAATATTGGGCAGGCAATCACATGTTTGTGCCAAGCGCCGACAGCTAGTTCCTTTGGACCTAATGGAGGAGGGACGAGGATTGACCACGTGGCTATTCCGACGGGGGCAAGGGGTTTGGTAGAAGAATGCTCTGTTTTAAAGAACGCAGGGCGACGTCTCCAGGCCATTAAGGGCAGGCTTCCAAGTGATTATGTGCCAGTAGGGCTTCAGATACCGCTGGGACTGGCCTCAAGGAACTACACGCTCATGCAGTACACACCGCCACTTGACCGTAATATGCTGATGCGCTGTCTGCAGGAAGGAGTGAGGAGAGAGGAGTTCTTCAACAAGATGTAGGAGGCTGCAGAGGAGACGTCGGAGGAGGAGTGGAGGGAAGCGGCTGCACGTTGTTCGCCTGATAGAATGTGGGACCTGCTCGGAGGAGCGGTGCGGACCGCTCTCAAGAAGGTGTTTCCGCCGCGAAGGCGGGAGGTGCCCGAGTGGCAGCAGGAGCTCAGGGCGGCTCGGGTGCCGCTGCTGGACGGGAGGCGTGTCCTCAGGGAGAGGGAGGGTCAGGAGCAGGAGGAGTTCGAGGAGGTTCAGGAGCTTTTGAGGAAAGCGTCGGCCGATCTCAAGGTCAGGTCAGGTCAGGTCGGGTCAGGTCGCCTTGCACCAGACGGTGCGCAAGCAAGAGAATCTGCTGCAGCACAGAAATCAAAGGTGCCATGCGCGGACTGCTGACTCCCATGCCCGCGCTGCACCGCCCTCAGGGCGGAAGTAGTCAGCGAGACGGGCGGGGGTGCCGATCTCAAGGCCAGCAGAAAAGCTGAAACGAAAAGGCGACAGCGTGAACTTGCCTTTGAGATATGGGAAGCGAATCTGGCTGGGAGGTGGGCTGAAATGCTTTCTTTCGGGTGGAATATGCCAGAAATGGGAGGGGACCAAAAAGCGCTACTACTATGCTAGTCGGTCCTACTGAAACAAAAACCAATGGCTTACGAACTGTCCATGCCGCTGGATGAGCGGGGTATGTCGTGCAGAGCGGTAGATTGGGACGATGTGCATACCAATTACGAGGCTGACTGTGAGGCGAATGAAGCTCTCTTGCATGACGATGCAGAGAGCCGTGATCTGGTACGGCAGGACGGATATGCCAGGGAGAAGTACCTCCGAAGGTGCAAAAAAAACACTGGCTTGGCCGAGCTGAGGGTTACTGAGTGAGGCGTCACTGTTACTGATTGCTCTGACTTTTCACTTGGAATCCCCACAAGCGATCGGAAACACTTGCAGCTAGAGCAGCTACGAGGGCGGAGCAGGACGAGGACGAGGAGGACATGGAACGTCAGATGGGAATGAGAAGGATGGAGAGGGGGAGGAGGCTGCTTGAGAAGATGGTTGCGCCGAGGGACTTCAACGACTGCTACAATCCAGTGTTGTACGAGTGGTTGGCAGAAGACCAGAATGATGATAATCGTCTGCTGAAAGCTCTCTGCCCAGTGTCCAAGAAGTATGTGAACTTGTCTGCACGCTCTTTTATGGATGATGTTACCAAGCTATTTGCATTGGAGGGAGGAATTACTAGCTACGGTGTGAAGTCGGAACTTCAGAATGATGACTCAACAACAGAAGAAGAAAACAAGATGGGGGGATTTGGGGCCTCAATCCTGAGTATGGCAAGCGATGACGAGAAAAATGAGACACAAATCTAGTAAGCTAGTGGGAGAAACAGGCAGAGAATTGCGCGTCACAACCGGAAATCTGGGAGGAGAAGTGAGGAGGAGGCTTGCAGCAGCAAAACCAAGCATGGCGGTTGGCAGACACGCCTAGGGATGAGAGGAGGATGTTGATCGCATTCGTTCAAGGTGCCTCTCTGAGTGGTCGTGTGTGCATGGTGCTTGAGCCACGCCTGACAGATGCTACCGACACCACTGTGTGTAAGATGTTGCGCAGCTTGGACCAGGGCGAGTGCTCGTGGACGGAGGCGGACGGCTCTACTCACCGACTCTGTTCAGGAAGATGAAGATGAATCGTGCTTCGACGGAACTTAGGATTCGCAGACTCAAGTGGTACAAGAAATGGGCTGCCCACCCAAGAGGCCCACGTGCAGGTGGCGGCAGCAGTGTTCGGGACGACGCCCTTAGACATGAGAAACAGCACACGTCGACTCGTAAAAGGAGAATATGTGCTCACAGTACGCCCTGGACT